GCCGCCTGCGACCCCCCCATCAACGCTTCGATGTAGCACCGCGCAAGGGACATGGCCATCGCCGCTCACTATGCGGTCCCGCGTACGCACCATGCTGTCCCCCCCAGCGTTCGGCTGTTGCGGCCACGCGTCGGCGATGGGTGCGTAGAAACAAGTGCCCACCCCCACCACCCATCAGGAACAAGGGTCACGGTGAGCGACATCGGTTTGTGATGTCGTCGTCGAGGCCGAAAGTGCGGGTACCATATCCTTTTCGAATTCTGCAGCATTAGGTGTTCGATGTCCATGCTCGACTGGCGTGTCAACCTCGCCAGTAGCAGCACGACCTCTCGCTGTGCCCATGCGCCTAGGTCTGGTCACGCTGCGCGCCTCCCGGGCCCGAGCTGGCAAATCAGCGCGATCGCGCTGTAGGCGAGTATGCGACGCCGGATCGGCACACCGAGCGGTCGATGGGCACGGTCGTTGAACGTGCCATCACGAAGCCCAGCAGCTAGTTTCTGAAGCCGAGCAACCGTCCTCGCCGTGCCCGCCATCGTTCCCATCGCTCGAGCACCAGGCTCATGCCGGTTGGGAACACCCCGACGGGCATGCGTGTGCCCAGGCTGAACATCACCAGCCAGCTGCGAACGGCGGCGAGGCCGTCTTTCGCGGCGTCACGGCGAACAGCGCACCGAAGCGGCCGCGAACGCTGAGCCTGCTCCCAGTGCCAACTGGCGGGCATTCACCTTGTACAGCACGCGGTTGCTGCCCAGCGCCACCGTCGCCGCCACCACGCCGAAGGCAGAGAAGTACGGAACGAACCAGCCCGAGCGGTTGTACACGTCGCTGAAGATCAGCTCGGTGCTGCCCAGGAAGGACAGGAAGGCTCCGAAGCCGAACGTGACCATGAGCGTGTAGCCCAGCGAGGTGCGGTTGCGGATCACGACTCGGAATCCCACCAGCACCGGCCCGAGCCTCAGCGGGCGACGGTTGGCGGGGTCGAGGGTCTCGCCTATGCGCAGCGACCATCCGAGCACCATGAGCGCGGTGACCACCCCTGATGCCATAACCCAGCGCCACGATCCGAACTCCACGAGGACCTTGCCCAGTACCGGGCCGAGGATGGGCGCGATGAAGAAAGCGGTCTGGACGAGTGTCATCACCCGGGCCATGGCGGTGCCCGCGAAGCGGTCGCGCACGATGGCTTGCGTCAGGGTCCGGGAACCGGCCGATGCGAACCCCCACACGAAGCGGCTGGCGTAGAGCACGCCCAGCGACGGAGCCAGCGCCGCGGCGAGAGCCGCGACGCCATACAGGGTCATGCTCCCGGCGAGTGTCGGCTTGCGCCCCACCGCGTCGGCGATTGGGCCGTAGAACAGGTTCCCCACGCCCGCGCCCATCAGGAACAGGGTGACCGTGAGCGAGAGACGGGTGGAGTCGTCGTCGAGGCCGAAGGCGGGCCGCATTTCCTCGAAGGCGGGCAGGAGTATGTCGATGGCCAGGGCCGACATGGCGCTCACCAGGGCAATGAACAACACGAACTCCCGCTCGCCCATGCGGCCGGGCGCGACGGGCGCGGTCATCGTGACCGCCGACCCATGCGCTGCCCCGGTCCATTCACGGCGGCGAGTTTGCCCCGAGGGCGGCCCGCAACCCCGCATCGGCTAGTGACGCGGGGATCGCGTCGAGGGGTCGTTGATCGTCGGCGGGTTAGGGTGCGGCCGATTCGGCGCCGGCGTCGGGTCGGCGCCACGAGATGGGAGAGACCATGACCTCTGACCTGAGCCTTCCCGGACGGCTGGGAGATCCCGATCTCACACTGGGGACCGATCCTCGCGCCGACCCTCGCATGGTGGCGGACCCTGGAGCCGCTCGGCCTCGCGGGGCGGGCCGATCCAGTGCCGCTGGGCGCGACCTCCTCGATCGAGGACATCCGGGCGGTCGCGGCCGCAGGCGAGCCGGGCTTCGAGGCGCTCTTTGACGCTCTTTTCGCCGGTCTGGCAGCTGTCACCGGTGTGAAATCGCGCACCGAGGTCATCTCAGGCGTCGACGGCAACGACATCAACCTCCACATCCATACCCCGGCCGGCGCAGGCGGTCCGCGGCCGGGCATCCTGCACATCCACGGCGGCGGCATGGTGATCCTCACCGCCGAGGGCGCCGGCTACCGGCGCTGGCGCAACGAGCTGGCCGCGCTGGGCCTGGTGGTGGTGGGCGTGGAGTTCCGCAACGCCTGCGGAGCGCTCGGCCCCCACCCCTTCCCCGCAGGCCTCAACGACTGCACCTCGGCGCTCGAATGGATGCACGCCCACCGCGACGGGCTCGGCCTGTCCAAGATCGTGGTGTCGGACGAGTCCGGCGGCGGCAACCTCACGCTGGCAACCACCCTCAAGGCCCGCCAGGAGGGGCGTCTGCACATGATCGACGCCGTGTACGCCCAGTGCCCCTACATCTCGGGCGCCTACGCCAGCCCGCCCGCGGAGCTCGCGTCGCTGCACGAGAACGACGGTTACTTCCTGGCCAACGACCTGATGGGCTACTTCGTGGAGGCCTACGACCCGGGCGCCGCCAACCTCAAGGACCCACTGGCCTGGCCGTGGCACGCCGAAGTGGACGACCTCGTGGGCATGCCGCCCCACGTGATCTCCGTCAACGAGCTCGACCGCTGCGCAGTGAGGGGCTCGACTACTACCGCAAGCTCGCCCGGGCCGGCGTGGCCGTCAACAGCCGCACGGTTAACGGCACCTGCCATGCCGGCGATCTGCTGTTCCCCGGCGCCTTTTGTTTTTTTGGTTGTGTTTGTTTTTTTTTTTTTTTTTTGTGTTTTTTTGCGGGAGGTGTGAGTACGGGGTGCCGTTGGTGTTGTTTTTTTTTTTGTGTTTTTTGTGTTTTTTTTTGTTTTTTTGGGTTGTGTTTGGGTGTGTTGTCTCCTTCTCGTTTCACGTGTCTTGCTGACCTTTTCTCCGCCCACGTAGGAACGGGATTGTGGTTGTGGTTGGGGGTTTGTGTGTTTGGTTGGGTTTGTGTGGGTGGGTTGGGGCAGCTGTTGTGGCCCTATAGGGGGCGATTTGCTGCCATTTCGCGGGGCGGCCAGATCCGCCGGTGAAGCGTGCCCGCGGATACCGTACCGTACGAGCCGTGCGGCGGGCCCGCCTCCCGCGCGGGCACGCCATGCTCTGCTTTAGTCCTGATCCGCTGCGCTGATCGTCACCGGAGACGCTGCGACCGAGCCGTACAGCGGCGACGCGCTGATCGACGGCGAACGCATCGTCCACCTCGGCGAGGTCCCGCCGAGCGCCGCGGCGGGTGCGGACCGAACTATCGACGCGGGCGGGCGGGTGCTGGCTCCCGGGTTCGTGGACACCCACAACGCAGGCTGCGCTCGGCCGTTGACGCGCTCGGCGAGCACAGCATCCCGGTCAGCTGCGAGATGGCGGTGCGGGCCGGGGTCACCAAGCGGATCTGTGGGTGACGGCTGTCGCCGGCTGGACCGTCGTGCTCTCCCGACACGCGCGCGAGTACGCACTGGTCCCATGCTCTGCGCCCCCTCGACGCACGGTGGAGCTCGGCCGTCGAACCCGAAGGCGACGATCCTGCCGGGGGCCTTCATTGGCCGTGGTCGACGATGGAGGAGTTCCTGGCCTGGCACCGTCGGCACGCTCGATCCACGACACTCGCATGCAGGGCTGCAGGCGTAGATCGCATACTACTAGCCTGGCACAGCGCGTGTGATGGCTCGCACCTCTTCATGGGCCCGCACCTCGACCGGGTCGCCGACGACGAGCAGCTCCGGGCCATGGCAGAGTGGTGCGCCGCGAGGCGCCTGGACCGCGTCGACGTGTGCACCGGGCTGGTCTACACCCGGCCGTGAATACTCGCGACGCAGCGCGAGCTCACCGCCCTGGTTCCGAGGCGTTCAACGGGTCAAGCCGGCGTCGCTGTACCGCATCTGCGTCGCGAGAGCGACGACATACTCGAAGCGCTGCGACGAGGTGATCACCGCCGCGGTGGACGGGGCGGCGGCTACGGTGTCTGAGCGAGCACCCAAGATCGCCGGCGTCCGCACTACGAGACCGCTACAACAAACGAGGTCCGAGGCCGCCGCTCGACGACGGGCCGCCGGCTCGATCCCCACGATGGTGCAACATGTATCCTACCCCTACACCGTCGCGGGCATGCCACCGACCGCCGACAGTCCCTGTTCCCGCCGGAGGTTCGCCTCGGGGCCCCGGGCCGAGTTCATGGCCCGGCTGAGCGACGACGACGTGCGCCGTTCGCCTTCGAAGAAGATCTACGGCGACGGCTCAGGCTGGGACAACTTCGTGGCGTTCTTCTGCGGCGGGCTCGAGTGCGTCCAGATTGCGGCGTGCGCTCGAGGCGTGGGCGACGAGTTTTCCTGGTCAAGCGCTTCTCTTCTCCGACGTGGTGCGGCGCGCCGGTGTGACCGACATGTCCTCGATCGAGCCCATGACGCGTATGCGACTTCTTCCTGCACAACCGGGGCGAGGTGGCCATCATCAGCCACTACGGCAACGAGGCCACCGTCGAGAAGTTCTTCCGCCGCCCGAACATGGCGCTGTGCACCGACGGCCTCATGCCGGGCCCCGGCCAGCAACCCCGATCCTCGCCTCGGTTGGGGCTTCCTTCCCCAAGGAGGCGCTGCGCATGGCCCGCGAGCTGGGCATCCCGGTGGCCGAGATCGTGTTGCACCTTCTGGCGGTCTGGCTGGCCCGTGCGTTCATGGGTCTGTGCGAGCCGGGTCCTGCGCAAGGGCGCCGACGCCTCGCTGGTGCTCTTCGACTGGGATCGGGTCACCGAGCGCAACAGCTACTAGGACCGCTAGTGCCGGTCCTCGAGCTATCGACTCGTTTTGGTTGCACGGCAAGCTGGTGCAGCACGAGGGCCGCATCCACCCGCCCAAGGCCTTCGGCGGCCGCCACCTGCTCACCGCCTGACGAGACTTCCTCCGCTATCCTGCCTTGCTTTTTTGACGAGGTTTTTGCGTCTGGTTGTGAATTTTTCTAACCTTGCCTGCCCGTATCTCTTTGGGCATCGGGCGGCGGTGCCGTTCGGCATCTGCTGCGTCGAGCGAGCAACCATGTGTGCCATCCAGGCGTCGCGCTCGGCCTGGCCGATGGCGAAGGGCATGTGGCGCATCCGCAGGCGGTGATGGCCCCGCTCCCTCGTGCTGGCGGGGGCCCGCCCCAGTATTGGGCCAGGAAGCCGGACAGGCGCCTCCGGGACGGCCCCATGTCCCTCGGGTACATCGGCCGCAACAACGAGTCGTCCTCGACCGCGTCATAGAACCTGTCCACCAGCTCGTCGAAGAACCGCTGGCCGCCCACCATCTCGTACACCGTCGGCGGTGCCTGCATCGCCTCGCTCTGCGCATCGCCCCTTCATGCTTACCCCCGGCCTACCAGCTCCGTCCGTCAGCCGTCGTCCGAGGGTCCGGGTTTGTGTTGCGCGGGCCTGGCTCTCTCAGCCAACGCAGCTTACGCCGACCCACCGGCATGCCCGACTGTCCACCGTCCACATCTGTGCCCTAGCCTGCTCAGTAGTGCACTTCCGTGCTCCCGCTGACCTGTCATGAGTGCCGGTACCGTACCGTCGATGGCCTTGTTAGCGTCGCAGGAGCAGCCGTCGGGGCGCTCGACAAGGTTGTCTCCTCCATGTCGGGCGGCGGGGAGCGGCGTCCCGGGCAGCGCCAAATGTGCGAGGCGGTCGCCGTTGCCCTCGATGAGGACCGGCATCTGGTGGTCTCGGCCGGCACCGGAACCGGCAAGTCGATGGCTTAACCGACCTCGCGCCGATTGCGGCGAGCGGCAAGAAGGCTGTCGTCGCCACGGCCACAAAGGCCCTCCAGGACCAGCTTGTCAACAAGACCTGCCCCAACTGGCGCAGGCCCTGGGCAAGCCGCTGCGGTTCGCGGTGCTCAAGGGCCGGTCGAACTACATCTGCCTCAAGAAGCTCGGTGATCTGTCCTCGGCCGCCTCCAGCGAGCAGGGCAGGCTGATCGAGGCCCGCTCGGCTGAGGAGGCCGGCCGGATCCGCGAGGAGGTCGCGCGGCTGGCCGACTGGGCCGCCGAGACGCCGGAACGTGCGAACCGGGCCGGTCTCGACTTCGAGCCGTCCCCCCGGGCCTGGGAAGGGGTGAGCGTCTCCGGACGGGAGTGCCCGGGGGCGAACAACTGCCCGTCGGGGCGTAGTGCTCGGCCGATGCGGGGCCATGAACGCTGCAGCGACGTCGACGTGCTGGTCGTGAACACCCACCTGTACTGCCTGCACGTGTTCACCGACGCCGAGATCCTCCCCGCTCACGACGCGTGTGGTGCTCGACGAGGCGCACACCGTCGAGGACATCGCCGCCGGCGCCGCCGGAGTGTCTCTCACCGGTGGCCGGTTCGCGGCGGCGGCCCGAGCGGTGAGGGCCGCAGTGCGCAATTCGAGGACGGCCGGCGAGGTGGACGGCGCCGGCAACATGCTTCGCGCCGCGCTGCGCTCCTATCGCGACACGCTGCTGTCTCCCGTTCCCGACGAGCTGGTGGATCTCGCCGTTCTGTGCCGGGGGCGCCTCGACGCTGCTGATGCCGAGGTCCGCGAAGCGCCCGGCGACGAGACCCGGCAGAGGATGCCCGGCATGACTCCCATAGCCGGCCTCGCGCCGCAAAGACCTCGCTCGGGCATCGAACCACTGAGATCACGAGGACGCGGTGTGGGTGGGTGGAAGGACGCGACCGCGACCACAACCCTGCCTGGCGGACCGCCCCCATCGATGTCAGCCCGCTGCTCCATGAGCGCCTCTGGAAGCACACTCCTGCGTGCTGACCAGCTGCGACGGTCCCCACGAACCTGGTCGACACGCTCGGCGTCCCCGACGACCAGTGCGACGAACTCGATGTGGGAGTCCGTTCGACTACCGCAGCAGCGGCCTGCTCTACTGTGCGAAGAGCCTCCCCACGCGAACAGGCCCGCAGGCGCGGGTCGCCACCAGCAGATCGCTCGGATGGCCACTGCGGCCGGCGGGCGCACGCTGGCGCTGTTCACCAGCTACGACGCCATGGACCGGGCCGCCGAAGCCGTCCGTGCAGTATGACCGGCTGTCGTCTACACCCACGCGACGACTGGCCCCAAACAGAAACTGATGCTGCCGGTTCGCGCGACCGAGGAGGAGAGCTGTCTGTTCGCGACCATGGGCATGTGGCAGGGCGTGGACGTGCCCGGCCGGTCGCTGTCGCTCGTCGTCGTCGACCGCATCCCGTTCCCCGCCCGCGAAGCCGACTGATGAGCGCCCGGCGCAATCCTGCGGTTCGGGAATCTCTTGCGCGTCCCACCGATCGATGTCCCCCGGCGGCGACGATGCTGGCCCAGGGCATTGGAAGGCTCATCCGTTCCGCCGACGACCGGGGCGTCGTCGCAGTGCTCGACTCCCGGCTGGCGACGGCCGGCTATCGCCAGGCCTCTTCCGAGACTGCGTTTCCGCCGCACCATCGACCTCGCGGAGGTCGAGGCGTTCCTCGCTGGCATTCGCCGCTCTGCGAAGAGTCCCCTGACTGGCACCGTAGACATGCGGCAGCTGGACATGGCCCGCCCGTAGACGGGTGTTCGGCGCGAGACGGCTCGAAGGCGTACCTGCAGTTCGAGCCCGCCCGTAGACGGATGCGTCAGGATATCTCGCGGAACTTCGACGGGTCGTAGGGGGCGCCGCAGCGGTCCAGCGCGGCTCGCCACGACGGGCTGTTGCGCAGCCCCCAGCGCAGGAACCGCAGCAGTGTGGCTGCGGCGACGCGGCCTCCCGGTCGGGGCTTCAGGCCGAGCACCCCGGTGCAGCTCTGGCGGCATCGTGGCGACCGCTCCCGCATCAGCACCGCGTATCCACAGCCGCTGCCTGGCAGGCAGCGGCGGCTGCCGCAGGAAGTCCACCGCGGCCCGCATGCCGGGGCTCGGCGCAAGCGCCGGATGGTGTTGACCCACTGGTGCAACTCCGCGGCGGTCTGCGGCAGCGGTGCCGCGCCCAGCATGGTCGCCCACCTGGGACTGCTCGACCACGAACCGGTCGGCCTCGGCCTCGGTCAGTCCGAGGCCGAACTCCCGGTAGGCCACCAGGAACGACTCGGTGAGGGTGTTGTGCACCCAGGCGGCCAGCTCGGGCATCCGCGTGTCGTAGGCGAGTCCCGCGATGGATGTGCCGCTCACGCCGCGGTGGGCGGCCCGGACCCGCTCGACCGCCTCGTCCACCTCGGGCATCGCACCGAAGGTTGCCGCGGTCACGTAGAACGCGGTGCGGTTCAGGCGCCCCATCGGGTCGTCGCGGTAGCGGCTGTGGTCGTCGACGCCGGCCACCGCCTCGGGATGGCGCGGCCTGCACCAGTAGCGCGCGGATGGCTCCCACGAACACGCTCACGTCGCCGATCGCCTTCCAGCTCACCGAGCCGGGTCCGCACAGCCCGGCATCGCCGGGATAGTCGGCGGTGTCGCTCCAGCGGCATCTCCCCATGGGAGAACAACCCGCTCACCGAGGCCCCCAGACGCGCCCGGTAGCGCTGCAGCGTCACCATGCCCGCACGCTAGCGGTCGCCGGAGTCCCAGTGGGTCGCCTCAACCCGGGGAGCCGGGATCGTGGGTGACGCGTCTGATGACGCGCCGCGTGCGCGACCCGGGGAGCGGGGTGCGGTAGGCCCCAGCCCGGGCTAAGCGCGGGGGCCGCCGCCGGCCGGCTCAGGCCTCGGGCGCCTGCCTGGGGTTGCCGCGGCGGGCCTTCATGCGTTGGCGCATGCGGGCGTGGGCCTCGGGCGTGCCGTCGTGGAAGGTGCCGAACAGCTTGTCGAGGGGCACGGGCCGGTTGCCGTAGTTGCACTCGAAGTAGCGGTGGTGCAGGTGGTGGAAGTAGTCGGCGCCCTGCACGGTGGATCCCTCGCGCCTGCCGAACTCGTATCGCTCGAACCCCGAGTGAGTCACCGCGGTCGCCACGCTGTTGGACAAGAGCGTGAGGATCACGATGAACGGATGCGCGGGCACCACCCACCACAGCAGGAACATGCTGAAGTACATCATGTGCTCGACCGGGTGAAAAGACAGGCCGCTCCACGGTCCGGTGTTCACGTTGCGGTGATGGAGGTAGTGGACGTGGTCGTAGACCCAGCGCAGGTGCAGCACCCGGTGGATGCAGTAGAAGTGCGTGACCGACCACAGGGACGTGAACACCGCCAGAACCGACAGGTACAGCCATGCGGAGTCCCACTGCACCGACGGGATCCAGTCGTTGGCGTAGAACCACAGGGTGAGCGCCTCGTAGGCCGTCCAGACCGCACAGCCGCTGGCCAGGCACCAGAAGATGTTGTCGCGGGTCTGGTTGTTCCACAGGAACTCGCGGTTGGTGGTGCTGAGCCACTGGCGGTTGTACTTGTAGCGCTGCTGCTGGGCCCGCCGGGCGTACAGCACCATGTGCAGCGTCCCCGCCACCAGCGTGAACGATCACCACGTTGCGGACATAGATCTCCAGGACCCATCTCGGGCTCAGTGTCGCCATGCGCTCCATCGACGGCGTGAAGAAGTTCCACACCAGCGCGGCCATCGCTATCCAGACCACGCCTTGGGGGAATACCACCTTGGAGACCAAGTGCCGAAGGGTTGCCACCGGCCGTGGCGGCCAGTCCAGTATCGGTGACACCGCGATCGGCACGTCCGGCTCGTAGCCATTGGTCACCGGGCTGTGTGACCTGCCGACGGTCGAATGCGTGTCCGCCATGGGCTTTGACCTTCTGGAACCAAGCGAGCCACCCGGCCCGACCCCGCTGGCGCGGAATCGTACACGCCCTGTCAATGGGCAGAGGCGCTGCGGGTGCGAGGCGCTGATTGAGGGCCCGGGCTGGACTGACCGACCGGGTTGGCAGACCCCTATGCTCACCGCCATGAGATATGCCTCCCCGACGACGGTGGCCGAGGCTGTGGATCTGCTGGGCTCTGAGCCGGACGCTCGCGTGTACGCGGGCGCGACCGACCTGATCCCACAGATTCGCGCCGGCCGTCCCGAACCCAGCGCGATCATCGACCTCAAGCGGATCGAGCGGTTGTGCGCCATCAGTCGCAACGGCTCGTCCTTCACGGTCGGTGCCGCTACCCCCACCGCCGACATCTGCGCCCACGACGGGTTGGCCGCCGCCTTCCCGGGCCTGGTGGAGGCCAGCGGGCTGATCGGCTCGGACCAGATCCAGAGCCGTTCGAGCTGGGGCGGCAACCTGGCCAACGCCTCGCCCGCGGCCGACACCCCGCCCAGTCTCATCGTCAACGACGCCCGAGCGGTGATCGCCGGTCCCGACGGCGAGCGCACCGTGCCCGCCGCGGAGGTCGCCACCGGCCCCGGCGCCACGTCGTTGGGTCCCGGCGAGCTCATCGTGGAGTTCGAGTTGGACGAGCCCCCGGCCCGCACCGCCGACGCCTACCTGCGGCTGATCCCCCGCACCGAGATGGACATCGCGGTGGTGGGCGCTGCGGCCCGAGTGACCCTCGACGAGGGTGGTCGGGTGTCCGCCGCAGCCGTCGCGCTGGGCGCGGTGGCCCCCACAGTGGTGCGGGTGCCCGACGCCGAGGCGGCCCTCGATTGGCAGCGAGCCCTCCGGTGAGGTGCTTGCCGCGGTGGAGGCCGCGGCCGCCGCGGCCACAAGTCCCATAGACGACAAGCGGGGCACAGTTGCGTATCGCCGCCAGGTGGCGGGCGTGCTGGCCCGCCGGGCGGTGTCCATCGCAGCCGAGCGGGCCCGCGAGCAAGGAGGCCAGTCATGAGCCGCGTCCACGTCACCTGCACCATCAACGGCGACCCGGCCGAGTTCCTCTGCGACGGCGGCCAGTCGCTGCTCGACGCCCTGCGCGACGAGGTCGGCCTGACCGGAGCCAAGGAGGGCTGCGGCACCGGCGACTGCGGCGCCTGCTCGATCGTATGGACGGGCGGCTGCTGTGCTCGTGCCTGGTCCTCGCACCCCGAGGCCGACGGCCGCAACATCTCCACGGTGGAGGGGATGGCCACCGGCGACGACCTGCACCCCCTGCAGCAGTGCTTCCTTGAGGGCGCGCGCGCTGCAGTGCGGGGTGTGCACGCCGGGTTCCTGGTGGCGGCCAAGGCGCTGCTGGACCGCAACCCCGACCCCACCGAGACCGAGGTCCGCTACGGCCTGGCCGGCAACCTCTGCCGCTGCACCGGCTACGACAAGATCGTGCGCTCGGTGCTGACCGCCGCCGCAGCCATGAACGAGAGCAACCAGAGCTAGGAGCCCCAAGTGACCGTCACAGAGCCCAAGCCCCGCTACAAGTACGTCGGCACCCGGCCCGTCCGCCACGACGGGCTTGAGAAGGTGACCGGCCGGGCCCGCTTCGCGCGCCGACCTGAACCTGCCCGGTCAGCTCACGGCGTCGTGGTGCGCTCGCCCCACGCCCACGCCCGGATCGTGTCCCTCGACACGTCGGAGGCCCAGGCCATGCCCGGCGTCAAGGCGGTGATCACCGGCGATGACTTCCCGGCCGTCGACCCCAGCGACCGCAACTACGACATGTGCACCAACGTCATGGCTCGCACCAAGGTCTTCTACGAGGGCCACGCCGTGGCCGCGGTGGCGGCCACCACCCGAGACCAGGCTCGAGCGGCCGCGGCTGCGGTGAAGGCTGAGTACGAGGTGCTGCCCGCGATGCTGACCATCGACGAGGCGCTCGCGCCCGACGCCCCGGTGCTGCACGATCACATGATGACGTCGGGCGCCAACCCGCCGGCGGAACAGGCTTCCAACGTCAGCGACATCACCCGCTTCTCCGGCGGCGACCTCGACGCCGGCTTCGCTCAGGCGGACCTGGTGATCGAGCGGGAGTTCACCACCAAGCCGGTTCACCAGGGCTACATCGAGCCCCACGCCTGCGTGGCCGACACCGGCCAGGACGGCCACACCACGATCTGGTGCTCCTCGCAGGGGCACTTCAACGTGCGCTCGTCCACCGCGGCGATGCTGGGCTGGGAGAACACCCGCATCAGGGTGATCCCCGCCGAGATCGGCGGCGGCTTCGGCGGCAAGACCACCATCTACCTGGAGCCGCTGGCAGTGGCGATGTCGGCCACGGCGGGCCGACCCGTGAAGATGGTGATGACCCGCGACGAGGTGTTCCGGGCCACCGGCCCCGCGCCCGGCACGCAGCTCAGGATCAAAATCGGTGCCGACCGCGACGGCAACCTAGTGGCCGGAGACGCCTATCTGGTCTACTCCGGCGGTGCCTACGCCGGACCAGGCGGGCTGCTCGGGGCCATGACCGTGTTCGAGTCGTACAAGATCCCCAACTTCGACATCGAGGCGCTAAACGTTGTGGTCAACACGGCCCGCTCGGCGGCCTACCGCGCACCCGCCGCGCCCCTGACCGCCTTCGCGGTGGAGGCCATCCTCGACGAGATCGCCGAGGAGCTCGGCATCGATCCGATCGATCTGCGGCTGCAAAACGCGGTCGCCGAGGGCGACCCGTCCACGATGGGATTCCCGTTCGCCCGCATCGGGTTCAAGGAGTGCCTGGAGGCGGTGCGCGACCATCCTCACTACACCGCGCCGCTGGGCCCCAACCAGGGCCGGGGGTGGCCGCCGGCTACTGGTTCAACATCGGGGAGTCTCCAGCGCCACCGTCAACCTCAACGAGGACGGCACCGCCACCGTGGTCACCGGCAGCCCCGACATCGGCGGCAGCCGGGCCTCGATGGCCCTGATGGCCGCCGAGGAGCTGGGCATCGACGTCTATGACATCCGCCCCGTGGTGGGCGACACCGAGTCGGTCGGATTCACCGACACCACCGAGGGCAGCCGGGCCACGTTCGCCACCGGCATGGCGGTGGTCGAGGCCTGCCGCAAGATGATTGTCGAGTTGCGGGGCCGGGCGGCCAAGATGATGGGCGTCGACGTCGACGATGTGGACTGGGTTGACGGGCATGCCGTCTACACCGGCAGCGACGGAGAGAAGGACCCGCTGCCGGTGGCTGCGATCACCGCCAAGGCCAAGCGCACCGGCGGCCCGCTCACCGCCACCGGGTCGCTGGAGGCCCACGGCGCCGGTCCCGGCTTCGCGGTGCACCTGTGCGATCTGGAAGTTGATCAGGAGACGGGCGTGGTTCGGGTCGTGCGCTACACCGCATCCCAGGATGCGGGCACCGCCATCCATCCCAGCTACGTGGAGGGCCAGATCCAGGGCGGCGTGGCCCAGGGCGTCGGCTGGGCCCTCAACGAGGAGTACATCTACGACTCCGACGGGGTGATGGAGAACCCAGCTTCCTCGACTACCGGGTGCCGGTGGCCTCGGACTGCCCATGATCGACGCGATCATCGTGGAGGTCCCCAACCCGGCCCACCCCTACGGCGTCCGCGGCGTGGGCGAGACCGGCATCGTGCCCCCCATCCCGCGGTGGCCAACGCCATCTACAACGCCACCGGCTGCCGTCTGCGCGACCTGCCGCATGTCGCCCATCAGGGTGCTGGAGGCTGTCACCGCCAAGAACGGCTCCAACGGCTCCTAGCCACGGCGCTGGCCATAGAGGGTCGGGTCATCCTAGGCCGCCCGTGGCCGTCCGGGTCCATCTGAGCTCCAACCTGCGGGGTCCCACCGGGGGCTCGCCGAGGTGGACGCGAGGGATCCACCGTCGGCGCCTCATGCGACGACGCTCGACCGGCGTCTACCCAGTGCCTGGCGACCACGCTTGCTCGCTGGCAGCGCTCGGTCGTGATCGACGGCCTGCTCATCGCCCATCCCGAGTACGAGCCGGTCGCCGACGGCGCGGAGGTCTACTTCGTCCCCACAGCGGCGGCTGACCCTCCGCGCTGGCGGCGGAGGCTCAGGCCGGTGGGCACCTCGCTGAGGTCGGCCAGAAGCGGTCGTTCTGGGCGGGGTGCCGATGGTCACCCGGATGCCCACCCCCGAGAACGGCCGGGCCACCACGCCCCGCTGCTCCAGGGCGATGCACACCTCGTCGGTGCGGCTGCCCAGCGGCATCCACACGAAGTTGGCCTGGGCGTCGGGATATCCCAGCCGTCGGCGGCCAGGGCGGCCGCCACCCGGCCCCGCTCGGCTCGGATGGCGTCGATGTTGGCCTGCGCCTCCGCGGCGGCGTTAGTGCGCATGGCGGCCAGGGCGCGGCCTGGGCCAGACCGTTGACGTTGAACGGGATCAGGCACTTGTCGATGGCTGATACGACCTCCGGGTGGGCCATCACGTATCCCAACCTCAGGCTGGCCAGCCCGTAGGCCTTGGAGAACGTTCGGGCCACGGCCACGTTGTCGAAGCGGGGCAGCAGATCGGCCACCGGGTCGCCGAGGGCGGGGTCCGCGAACTCCCGGTAGGCCTCGTCCACCAGCACCACCACATCGGGGAACCCGCTCCACGAGGCGTGCGACGGCCGCGGTCGACACGGCCGTGCCGTGGGGTTGTTGGGGGTGGCCAGAAACACGAGCTTGGTGCGTGCGGTGACGGCTGCGGCCACGGCGTCGAGGTCGAAGGCGTGCCCGGCGGTCAGCGGCACCCTCACCAGCGTCCCGCCCATGGTCTGCACCGAGATCGGGTAGGCCTCGAAGGAGATCCACGGCGTGACCACCTCGTCGCCGGGGTCCACATAGGCGGTGGCGAACTGGTACAGCAGCGCCACTGAGCCTCGCCCCCCGTGACCTGCTCGACGGCCAGGCCCAGCCGGTCAGCCAGCGCCTCGCGCACCGCGGTGGCCCGATGGTCGCAGTAGAGGTTGCCGCCGCGGCAGGCCTCAGCCACCGCCTCCACCACCGCGGCCGGGGGAGGGTACGGGTTCTCGTTGGAGGCCAGCTTGATGGCCTCGGCGATGTTGTGGCTCCCGCTCAGCCTGCTCGGCGGCCTTGCCGGGCTTGTACGCGGGCAGGGCGTCCACGGCGGGCGCACCCGCCCGACCGGCGCCGCGGCCGGGGATTCGGAAGAAGGCACGCTTCCAGTCTGCCCTATACCGCTGACAGTCCGACATCCGCCGCCCATGCCAAATCGCTGTAGTTGAGGACCTCCGGGGTTCTCTGGTATCGAGATCTCGGCCCGGCCAGAGCCGCTCATTCGGGAGCCCTGTGACTGTGGAGCGCAGGGGTCCTTGGGCACGGGAATTTTGCCAGCCCGGATGCGTAGGATTGACAGTATGGGTACCGGGTCGTCTGTGAAGGTCGCCGGACATGCGGGTGGAGGGCATGACCTGCGGCGCCTGCGCCTCCCGGGTGGAGACGGCGCTTCAGGCGCGGACGGAGTTCTCGACGCTCGAGTGAACTTCGCTTCGAGCCGGGCGACGGTCCTGCATGACGGCACGATCGACGATCTGATCCTGCGCCGTGTGGTCGAGGGGGCCGGGTACTCGGCGCCCGCGCAAGCCGAAGCCGACGGCGGGACCCGAGCGGCGACGGATAGTGGATCTGCGCCGCCGCTTCGTGGTGGCACTCGTGGCCGGCATACCAGTCGTGGCCGTGTCGATGCTGCCGCCGCTTCGCTTCGACGGCTGGCGTTGGGCTGCGTGGCGCGTCGGCGTGGTGGTTTCGGTATCGGGGTGGGGCTTCCACCGGGCCGCGGTCAAGAACCTGCGTCACCGGGCCGCCACCATGGACACGTTGGTGTCTGTGGCACTGTGGGCGTGGGTCTGGTCGGCCGTGGTGCTCGTGCTGGAGTCGACGGCGGTCACGTCTACTTCGAGACGGGCACGGTGATTGTCGCCCTGGTGCTCTTGGGCAGTGGCTGGAGGCCCGGGCCACCCGCCGCTCGGGCGAGGCGTTGCGGGCCTTGGCCAAGCGCAGTGCCTCTACCAGCCGCGCTCACTCGACGCCGAGCGCTGCCGACCTGGCGGGGAGGAGAGCTGCGCTAGTGCGACGGCGAGCGGATCGCCACCGACGGCACCGTGGTGAGCGGCGCCTCTGCGGTGGACATGTCGATGATGACCGGCGAGCCCGTGCCGGTGGAGGTGGCGTCGGGCGACGAGGTGATCGGGGCCACCGTCAACGCCGACGGCACCCTGGAGGTGGAGGCCACGCGGGTGTCGGACCGCACGGCTATTGCCCAAGGCGTTCGTCGGTTGACTGGCCCAGGTTGCCGCGCCTCGGGCGCGGCTGGCCTACCGGGTCCTCTGGATATTCGTGAGTTTTTTCCCGCCTGATGGCCGTGGCCGCGGGACCCTCGCGGCGTGGTTTCTCAGCCGGGCGCGGCTTCGGAGGCTTCACTCCGCCGCGTGGCGGTGCTGATCATCTCCTGCGTGCGGCGCTCGGCTGTGTCCCCTTAGCGAAGGGCGCTGGCGGTGAGGTGGGCACGGCGCGCGCTCAGCGCGGCGTGATCATCAAGGGCGCCGAAGTGCTCGAGACACCGCCGCGTGGACATGGTGGTGCTCGACAAGACGGGAACAGTCACCGAGGGCCGCCGTTGAAGTGGTCGAGCTGTGGCGGCCTCCGGGGCGGACGCGACCGTGCTCGGCTTGCTGGCCGGTGCGCGTGAGTCGCGTCCTACGGCACTCTCTGCTCGGCGCGGCGCCCTCGCTCGCGCTGGCCTTCGGCCCGCACGGTCACCGATTTCTTGAACCGTCCGGGCTTGGGCGTGGTGGGACGGGTGGACGGCGCGGAGGTGCGCGTCGGGAGGCGCCCGCTGTTCGACGAGATCGCCGCTGAGATCGAGGAGGCGCTGGTCCGAGCAGAGGCCGCTGGGCATACCGCGGTGCTGATCGGTCCGGGAGCGGCCGCGGAGGCCGTGGTGGCGTTGGCCGACACGGTTAAGCCCACGTCGCTTCAAGCGGTGCAGGAGCTGCGAGCCATGGGCCTTGAGGTGTCGCTGCTGACCGGGGACAACCGCCGGACCGCTCGCTCGGTCGGCGATGCGATCGGGGTGAGCGACGTGACCGCCGAGGTTCTTCCCGGCGACAAGGCCGATGTGGTGGTGAGCTCCAGGAGGCCGGCAAGCGTGTCGCCGTGGTGGGCGACGGCGTCAACGACGCACCGGCGCTGGCCCAGGCCGACCTCGCCATAGCGGTGGGTACCGGCGCCGACGTGGCCATCGAGGCTTCCGACCTGACCATTGTCGGCGGCGACCTGAGAGCGGTGCCCGACGCCATAGCGCTGTCGCGCCGCACGCTGTCCACCATCAAGGCCAACCTGTTCTGGGCCTTCGCCTACAACGTGGCCGCCATCCCGCTGGCCGCCACCGGAGTGCTCAACCCCATGGCCGCCGCGGCCGCGATGGCGCGTCGTCGCTGTTCGTGGTGACCAACAGCCTGCGCCTGCGCCGCTTCCGCTCGATCCGCTCGTAGCTGGCTGTCCGGTCCGGCCGACCAGCGTCTACGAGATCTGTTATAGGCTCTAACAGCCTGGCCCGGTGCACGCCGGGCATCGGAACTTGCGGCCGACGGAGGAACGCAGAGATGACCCGTATGACCCCCAGCGAGGCGTTTGTGGAGACGATGGTGGCCCATGGCGTCGACACCATTTTCGGCATCATGGGGAGCGCGTTCATGGACGCCATGGACATCTTCGAGCCGGCCGGCATCGAGCTTGTGCCGGTGGTCCATGAGCAGGGCGCGGCCCACATGGCCGTACGGGTTTCAGCCGGGTGTCGGCCCCACGCGTGGTCATCGGCCATAACGGCCCGGCATCTCCAACTGCTGTCAAAACCGCCATAGCGGGCCGCCTTCTGGGCCCACAGCCCGGTGGTGATCGTCACCCCCGAGGCCGGACCATGGGCATAGGCCTGGGCGGCTTCCAGGAAACCAACCAGCTTCCGATGTTCGAGGAGTTCACCAAGTACCAGGGCCACGTCAACAACGAGCACCGCATGGCCGAGTTCACCGCCGCTGCTTCGACCGGGCTCTGTCGGAGATGGGGCCGACCCAGCTCAACATCCCCCGGGACCGCTTCTACGGCGACATCGACGTGACGATCCTCATGCCCCACGCGTCGACCGGGGCCCCGGCGGCGACCGGACCCTCAACGAGGCCGCCGAGCTGCTGGCGGGAGCAGAGTTCCCGGTGATGATCTCGGGCGGGGGAGTGGTGATGGGCGACGCCATGGCCGAGACGGTGGCGCTGGCCGAGCGCCTCGGCTGCCCCGTGGTGAACAGCTACCTGCACAACGACTCGTTCCCGGCGTCGCACCCGCTGTGGTGCGGGCCGCTGGGCTATCAGGGCTCCAAGGCGGCCATGCGCCTCATCTCGCGGGCCGACGTGGTGCTGGCTCTCGGCACCCGCCTCGGCCCGTTCGGCACCCTGCCCCAGCACGGCCTCGAGTACTGGCCGACCGAGGCGCAAGGTCATCCAGGTCGACGCCGACTCCAAGATGCTCGGTCTCGTCAAGCGCATAGACGTGGGCATCTGCGGCGACGCCGGCGCAGCCGCGGCCGCCATAACCCGGCGTCTCGCGGGCCGTGAGCTGGCCTGCGATGCCACCCGGACCCAGCGGGCCGCCGACATCGCCGCCGACAAGGCCGAATGGGAGTCCGAACTCGACGACTGGACCGAGGAGACCGACGACTTCAGCGTGGACATGATCAAGCAGGCTGCGGCCGAGTCCCGACGACTGGATGCACCCCCGCCAGGTGCTGCGCGAGCTTGAGAGGGCGATGCCGGAGCGGGTGATGGTGTCCACCGACATCGGCAACATCAACTCGGTGGCCAACAGCTACCTGCGCTTCGAGGAGCCCCGGTCGTTCTTCGCGGCCATGAGCTGGGGCAACTGCGGCTACGCCCTGCCACACCATCATCGGCGCCAAGAAGGCCGCCGTGACCGCCCCGCGGTGGCCTACGCCGGCGACGGGGCGTGGGCCATGAGCATGGTGGAGACCATGACCGCGGTGCGCCACAACATCGCGGTCACCGCGGTGGTGTTCCACAACCGCCAGTGGGGCGCCGAGAAGAAGAACCAGGTCGACTTCTACGGGCGGCGCTTCGTGGCCGGCGAGCTAGACGGCGGCGAGGACTGGTCGAGGTGGCCCGGGCCATGGGCGCCGACGGCGTGCGGGTCAACCAGCTCGAGGACGTGGGCCCGGCGCTGACCGCGGCCATCGACGCCCAGATGAACGGCGGGCGCACCACCGTGATCGAGGCCATGTGCACCAAGGAGCTAGGCGACCCGATTCCGCAGGACGCCTGAGCAGCTCCGCACACAGGATCCGCACCGTGGAGCACCTGGAGGAAGTACCAGAACTACACCTGAGCGGCTCTACAGGTTCACGGAGGCCAAGCGTTCCAAGGAAGCCAGGTCGTTCACTTCGAGAAGACCCCTGGTGCCCGCGTTGTTGTACCGGCGCCACATAGGTTCGCGAACTGCTATACTAAACGCGAGAGATAGTGGCTAGAATGGACTCATGGCCGCGCAGTTCCGGTCGGCTCAGCTATCACTGAGAATCAGCGTCGCGGAGTTGGACCGCATCCGGGAGGCCGCCGATGTCTCGGGCGAGACGATCGCGCGTTTCGTCCGCGCCGCGGTGAGCGACAGATGCTCAGCAGTCGAAGAGGAGCGGCTTGAAGTCGCTGAGGTTTCGTCGGGCGCGGCGCGCGACCGGCTGGCACGAGTCGAGCGGCTGGTACTGGCTGCGGTGACCGCTCACGCTGGCCTCGGCTCCGTCGCCGCCATTGCCAAGCGCAGCGGGTGTGTGCTGGTCGGCGGCACGTGGCGCGCTGGATGCGTTGGTCGAGCAGGGCGCGATCAGGCAGCGTGCGTGGAAGCAGAGTTGGCGCAACGGCGTCCGCGAGCGCGGACTGTGGGAGCCTGTGGTGTCCTCTCCGGGCTTCGAGCGGCTCTGGGCCCAGGCCAGGCATGTGAGTCTGCCGTCGACGCTCCTGCCAAGTGTGTACGTCGGGCCGCTGCCGCCGCAGTTCTGGTCGTTGTTCTGGAACCATCCCGATCCCTCTTCGCTGGCTCTTCCGCGATGATTTGTCCGACTACCCACACGCCAACGCGGCTTTTGTTCAACGGCTGTCCGTCTGTCCATGCAGCCCTGTGGGCGTCGATTCGTCTGCCCGCCGACGCCTTGCGCTCCTGCCTCAGTCTGCGCTCGACCAGTCCGGGACCCGCAGCCTCATCGAGAACGCCCTCGCTCACCGCTCGACCGTTTGACCATGACCGGAACCGGTGGGGTGTCCAGTGGCGCACCCATCGACGCCTGGTCCGATGTGCTCGATGGCGTCACTCGCGCCTGCTGGCCGAAGATCGCGTCCGCCTCGCCTCGCTCCGGTGTTCTCATGGGCGGCACGGCTCTCGCCATGCACCTGAAGCACCGCCGCAGTCGAGACCTCGACGTCTTCGTGCATGAGCCCTTCGATCCGGACGCGGTGCTGGAGGATCTGCGGACAGCCGCGGCGGTCGCGATGGAGGACATCGCAGAAGGGACGCTCAACTGCCGTGTCGACGGGGTCAAGGTCCAGTTCCTGCATGCACGCGGCCAGAGGCAGCTCGATTCACCGCTGCTCGTCGACGGGCTTGCGGTTGGATCTGTGCGCGACATCGCGGCGACCAAGTACAAGGTGATCGGCGACCGGGGCGAGCTGCGCGACTACTACGACCTCATGCGCATTGAGACCGACGCCGGCATCACGCCGCAGACCGGTCTGCGCCTCTACACCGAGCGCTACGGAATCGGACTCCACCATTCGAGCGTCGCGCACATCGTACGTGCGCCCGGCTCGTTCACTGACGTAGCTGACGACCCGTGCTGAGTCCGGAGCTGCCGGAGACGCTGCTCTAGCGGACGTGTCCTCCTACTGGCAGCGCCGCAGCCGGAGTCGCGGCCTGCTTGCCGCCAGCCCAGCGGTGACGCAGCGCGGCGGAGGCCCGCGGCATGTCGTCGTGCATGGGCCTCCTACGACCCCGGCACCCTAAGCCGGCGATTTCCTCGGCCACTCCCTGCAGATGGCTGACCAGTGATGAGCATGTCGATCTCGCTGAGCGCGGATGCGGCTGCTGTACCTCCTCAGGACGTGCACGCGGTCGCGTCGGGGCGAGGCAGCGGCATTCGACTCATCCTGTCGTGTTGTGCAGGATCGTCAGGGTGAACGTCTCGGCACTGATGGGCACGGGGACCGGCTGCGCGCCGGCTGCCGGCGAGAGCGATGCAACGGCGGCCGCGACCAGAGTCACAATGGCCAGCAGCGCGGCTGGCGTGCGAGGGGTTGTGTCGACAGCATTGGCAGAGTCCTCTCGCCAGCGGGTCAGGGCTTGGGCTGTCGTAACGCCGACAGCCGGCTGAGCCGGTCTGCGACCATCTGGTCGCCGTCGGTCGTTCCGTCGTGGAACGAGCCGATCAGCTCGTCGAGAGGCGACTCGAGGCCGCCGTAGTTGCACTCTATGAAGCGGTGATGGAGCTGGTGGTGGAAGTCGCCCAGCTCGAAGCGCTGCCGCCGCGCCAGCCGGACCGCGTCATAGCCGGTGTGGCTCATCGGCGCGCCGATGGTGTGGTGCATCAGCGCGAAGAGCATGTGCACACCGCTGGTCGGAAGGACCAGAAAGAGCAGGATGTCGCTTGTACAAGACCACGTGCTCGAGCGGATGCATCGAGAGGCCCGACCACGGGCCAATGTTCATGTTGCGGTGATGCCAGGAGTGGACGTGGGCATACACCGGCCCCCGGTGCAGCAGCCAGTGGCCGGCCCCGAAATAGAGAACCGACCAGATGGGGACGAAGCCGAGCAGCACCACGAACCACACCGGGTTGTCGTCGAAGGACCAGTGCGGTGCGACGCCGTTGGCGTAGGCCCACCAGCCCAGCGACTCCCATGCGGTGGCGACAACCATCGCCGGCACCAGGCTCAGGAACATGTTTTCCTTCACCTGGTCGTTGAAGAGGAACAGGCTCTTGTTCCTCGTCATCGGCCGCGCGTCGTACCGTAGGCCGTCACCCTGCACCCGGTAGCGCTGCAGGAACAAGTGGAGCCCGCCGGCCACACCACTGTCAGCAACACGACGTTGCGGACCCAGATCTCGAGGATCCAGCCCAGCCGCAACGATTCCGCCTCGGCGCGAGACGGGCTCGCCCACTCCCACAGGGCGAACGCGACTGCCAGCATGAACACCCGCGAGGTGAGGGGCCGCCAAGTCTTGACCAGATGGCGGGCGATGGCGGCGGGCCGCAGCGGCCAGTGCCACAGCGGCGCCGACCGAAGCGGCAGATCGGGGGTGCAGTTCCAGGCTGGCCGCTTCCTGGCGGTCACGCCGCGCAGCGTAGCGCTCGATCAGAACATCCGAATGCTCCCGGACACCTCATCGATCAGGACATCTGGATGAGTACGTGTTCCGTCAACTGGGTGTGTGTTCCGTCAACTGTGTGTCCGTCAACTGGGTGTGTGTTCCGTCAACTGTGTGTTCCGTCAACTGGCGCAGTTCACCGGCGCACGCTACGTGTTCCTCACCTACGGCGCCGCGGGCCGAGCCACCGGCGCATCAACCGACATCACTGAGCTCGATTATGAGGAGCTGTCGCTCGACTATCTGATCGTGCGGCACCCAGTGATCAGCGAGGAACTGGAGGCTCTGGCCGGACCAAGGACGGGGCTTGAGCCCCGCCCCCGGACCCCTCAGCTCGCGGGGAGCTCCAGCACCCAGCCGATCAGGATCAGGTTCGGGTTGCGCAGCGTGCGGCCCCCGGCTTGGACCCTGTCCCGGTTGAGGTCGAAGATCTCCTGGTAGCGCGTCCCCGTTCCGAGGTGGGTCCGGGCGAGCCCCCACAGGGTGTTGCCTCGCTTGACCGTGACCGTGGCGGGTTCGGGCTGTGGCTCCGGATCCGGCGTGACTGCGGTGATCCGGTTGTCGCCTCCCGCCGGGTAGTCGGCCGCGGTGATCGTGCCGCCCAGGTCCTCGGAGATGTAGTCGGCCAGGGCCTGCTGGTAGCTGACTCCCAGCTTGGTGAACTCGATGCCGGCCAGCGGGTAGCAGTCGCCGCCGTTGGCCAGGAAGTCGATGGTGGCCAGCACGATCGGATCACCGGGCACCACTGCGCCGTCGCGCACGATCACGGTGCCGTCGTCGAGGACCACCTCGCGGATCCTCGATCCGGGGTTGCCGGCCAGCGAGCAGTCGCCGGCCCGGTCGGTCTCCCGGGCCGGTGCCGACGGGTCGTATGTGAAGGTGAGTCCCGAGACCTGCGGGAACTGGCCTCCCGCTCCCGGGATCCGGTCGACGGCCCGCTCCAGCAGCACATGGAAGGTCTCGCGGGGAACCTCGCCCACCACCACGAAGTTGCCGAACGGGGCGATGTCCCAGGTGTCGCCCGTGGTGATCTCCCCGGCCGGGATCACGGCGTCGTTGCGGATGCCGCCGCCGTTCTGTACCGCCGCGTCCGGCACCGGGGTGCCGAAGCCCTCGGCAAGGTTGGTCGCCGTGGCTCGCAGCGCATCGGCGTGGAGGTTGCCCTGGTTGGTGGAGCCGGTGCGCACCATGGCCCGGCGCCCGTCCAGATCCACGTCGCTCTGGCCGATCACATCGGCGTCGACCTCGGCCACAGCCGCGGCCAGGGGCTCGATCACGCTGGACTGCACGGTCGGGTCGGGCGTCACGTCGAAGCTGACGCCGACCGAGCGGCCGGTGTGGCTCACGATGCTGCCGTCGCCGTCGAAGGTGACCGTCAGCGCTCCGATGCAGCGGTAGCCGCCGGGTGCGGTGATCACGGGGACCTCGGTGCCGGTCGAGTCCTCGACCAGCAGCGGGTAGGGGCCGGCGGGATCGTCGTCGGGCATGCAGGTGTCGCCCTCGTTGCGCAGCAGGTCGTCACCGCCGCCGGCGATCACGATGTCCACGCCGGCGAGGTCGGCCACCAGGGCGATCTCCTCGGACACTCCTTGGAGGTGGCTGACGAGAATGATCTTGTTCACTCCCTGCGCGGCCAGCGACTCGGCCTCGGCCGTGACCGCGGCCAGCACGTCGGAGATCACCACGTTGCGGGGCGATGAGATGTTGGGGAGCAGGGGAGTGACTGCGCCGATCACGCCGATCTGCTGCCCGCCGGTGTCCACGACGGTGCTGGCGGCCAGCTTGCCGGAGTCCACCAGCGCCTGGAGCACCGGGCTCGTTGGAGAAGTCGGCGTTGGCCGACAGGAACGTCACCGGCGGATCGAAGCCCTCGATGAAGCGGGCGGTCACGTCGGGGCCGAAGTCGAAGTCGTGGTTGCCCCAGCGCCATGGCGTCGTAGAGGCCGCTCAGGGCCACTGAGTCGTAGAGGGCGCCGTCGCGGGCCAGCGAGATCCCGAGCTCCTGGGAGGCCAGGAAGTTGTCGCCCGAGGTGAGGGTGACGACGCCCGAGCCGGCGGCCGCGGCTGCGGCCTGCATCAGCTTCACTTGGGTCGCGAAGCGGGCCACCCCCGGGAATCCCGAGTCCTCGTCGGGCAGCAGCTTCGACTCGCCGTCGTTGTTGTGCAGGATCGTCAGCGTGAACGTGTCGGCGCTGATGGGCTCCGGAGTCTGCGCACCGGCCGGCAGCGACAGCGATGCGACCATCGCGCCCCAGCGGCCAAGCGGCCACAGGCTGCGAAGACTGCGCTTATCCTCGGGCTCTGACGCTCATCACTCTGGACCTCCTGGTGGATGAAATCAGGCGAAGGGTGGCGGAACCTACGACCGTGTGCGGCTGTAAAGCGCTGAACGACTCTGGCGATCTTCGCGCGAACCGATGAGTCACGCCTCGCACGAGTCGACGTGGCGACGCTCTGCACATCAGGAGGCTCGGCGGCGGGCCACCCGAGAAATCACCGTGGCCACCTCGAGACACCGGGCCGGGCCACCTACTGAGACGTCACCGGCGGCCGGGCCACCTGCTACACCGCGCTGCGGTTGCGTTGCAGGCGCTTGCGGTGACGGCCCCGCACGTCGGCGTCGAGGATCTCCTTGCGCAGGCGGATCGTCTGCGGGGTGACCTCGACGCACTCGTCGTCGGCGATGAACTCGAGCGCCTGCTCCAGCGACAGGACGCGGGGCGGGGTCAGGCGCACCGTGTCGTCGGAGGCCGCGGCCCGAATGTTGGTCTGCTTCTTCTCCCGGCAGATGTTGACGTCCATGTCCTCGGGGCGCGGGTTCTCGCCTATGACCATCCCCTCATACACCTCCTCGCCGGGGGCGACGAACAGCGAGGCCCGCTCCTGCACGGCGGCTATGGCATAGCCGGTCACCGCGCCGCGGCGGTCGGAGACGATCGAGCCCGAGCGGCGGGTGCGGAGCTCGCCCAGCCACGGCGTGTAGCCCTCGAAGACACTGGTCGCCAGGCCCGTGCCCCGGGTCTCGGTCAGGAACTCGGTGCGGAACCCGATGAGGCCCCGGGCCGCCACGATGTAGTCGAGCCGCACCCAGCCGGTGCCGTGGTTGGTCATGGTCACCATGTCGGCCTTGCGCTCGCCGAGGAGCTGCGTCACCGCTCCCACGAAGCTCTCGGGGATGTCGATGGTGATGCGCTCGGTCGGCTCGTGGAGCCGCTCGTCGATGGTGCGGGTGATGACCCTGGGCTTGCCCACGGTCATCTCGAAGCCCTCGCGGCGCATGATCTCCACCAGCACCGCGAGCTGGAGCTCGCCCCGCCCCTGCACCTCCCAGGTGTCGGGGCGGTCGGTGTCCGAGCACCCGGATCGACACGTTGCCGACCAGCTCGGCGTCGAGGCGGTTCTTGATGAGGCGGGCCGTCACCTTGGCGCCCTCGAGCCCGGCCATGGGAGAGGTGTTGGTGCCGATGGTGATCGACAGGCTCGGCTCGTCCACCGTGATGGCGGGCAGCGGCACAGGGTCGGCGAGGTCTGCCAGCGTCTCGCCGATGGTGATGTCGGCGATGCCGGAGATGGCGATGATCTCGCCCGCGCCGGCCTCGGCCGCGTCCACCCGGTCGAGGCTCTCGGTGACGTACAGCTCGGTGATCTTGGCGGTGGCGACGTGCCGTCGGTGCGGCACCAGGCCACGCTCTGGCCTCGCCTGATGGTTCCGTGCATGACCCGGCACATGGCGATGCGGCCCACATACGGGCTGGCGTCGAGGTTGGTGACCCAGGCCTGGAGCGGCCGCTGCGGATCGTGGCGGGGCGCGGGGACGGTCTCCAGCAGCGTCTCGAACATGGGGCGCAGGTCGGTGCCCGGCTCGGTCGGGGTCGAGCGTCGCCGTGCCCCGGCGGGCGTTGGCGTACACGATCGGGAAGTCGATCTGATCCTCGGTCGCGTCGAGGTCGAGGAACAGCTCGTACACCTCGTCGACGACCTCGGCGATGCGGGCGTCGGGCCGGTCGATCTTGTTGATGACCAGCACGACGGGCAGCTCGAGCTCCAGCGCCTTGCGAAGCACGAAGCGCGTCTGCGGCAGCGGGCCCTCGCTCGAGTCGACCAGGAGCAGGACGCCGTCCACCATCGTCAGGGCCCGCTCGACCTCGCCGCCGAAGTCGGAGTGGCCCGGCGTGTCCACGATGTTGATCTTGATCTCCTCGCCGCTGTCGCGGCGTAGCGGACCGCGGTGTTCTTGGCCAGGATCGTGATGCCCTTCTCGCGCTCGAGGTCCATCGAGTCCATGACCCGCTCGTTGACGGTCTCGTTGGACCGGAAGGCGCCCGACTGCCACAGCATGGCGTCGACGAGGGTGGTCTTGCCATGGTCGACATGGGCGATGATGGCCACGTTGCGCAGGTCGGCGCGCGCCGCGGGATATAGGGGTTCAGCCATGGAGAGTCTCAGGCCCGTTACTGGAGAAGGGAGCGGATCAGCTGAGGATACGGCTCGGAGGCCTGACGTGAGCCGTCAGCGGATCGCGCCCTGCTGTAGGCGCCATCCAATCTCTTGCTGGGGCCGAAGCTGCGAGACGGTCACCTACGATGGGGCGCTATGGATGACACCCATCGAAACGAGCGTCCGGCAGGCATCGGCCATGCCCGGAGCGTCACACCATGACGGGCGGGCGCAGGGCGCTGGTGACCGGCGCCGGTTCGGGCATCGGGTGCGGCTTGCGTCGACCGGCTGCTGGCCCAGGGCTGCCGGGTTGCGGCTCTCGACCTGCGGGCAGGCGACATGGCCGACCGGGCCGACGAACTGGACGCGATACACGAGGTCGATGTGACCGACCCCGCCGCGGTGCGGGCCATCGACGGCATCGATCAGATGGACATCGTGGTGCAGTCCGCCGGCATCGTTGGACCCAACGTGCCGTTGCTGGAGACGCCCCTGGACGGCTGGGAGCGCACCCTCACCGTGAACGTCACCGGCATCTTCAACGTGATGCAGGCCACTCTGGGCGGCATGGTCGAGCGGGGTTGGGGCCGGGTCGTGAACATCGCCAGCATCGCCGGCAAGGAGGGCAACCCGAACCTCAGCGCCTACTCGGCCAGCAAGGGGGCGGTGATCGCGGTCACCAAGTCGGTAGCCAAGGAGTTGGCCACTACCGGCGTGATGGTCAACTCGATCGCGCCGGCGGTGATCGCCACCCCCATGAATCTCGCCACCGCTCCCGAGGTGCTGGACTACATGCTCTCGAAGATCCCCATGGGCCGCCTGGGCCTGCCCGAGGAGGTGGCCGCGCTGGTGGGCTGGCTCTGCTCGGAGGACTGCTCGTTCAGCACCGGCGCCTGCTACGACATCTCCGGCGGTCGGGCCACGTACTGATGGCCGAGCACTTCCTTGTTACCGGCGCCGATGGGTGCATTGGCGCGTGGACGGTGCGCCTCCTGCTCGACGAGGGCGCCGAGGTGACCACCTTCGACATCGGCGAGAACGACAGCCGCCACCGGCTCGTCTCCGGCGGCGCCCCGCTGAGCTTCCGCCGGATTAGAGGCGACATCGTCGATCGCTCCGCCGTGGTCGACGCCATGGCCGGAGTCGACCGGGTGATCCATCTCGCTGCGCTGCAGGTGCCGTTCTGCAAGGCCGATCCCAGCGGCGGCGCGGCGGTGAACGTGGTGGGCACGGTGAACGTGTTCGAGGCGGCATCGAACACCGCATTGCGCCGGTGGCCTACGCCTCGAGCGCCGCGATCTACGGCCCTGTCGACAACTATCCCGAGCCCGTGCTCGAGCCGGACGCAGCTCCCAAGCCCGCCACCCTCTACGGCGCCTACAAGGTGGCCAACGAGCAGACGGCGGCGGTGTACGCGGCTGACCACGGGCTGGCCTCCGTGGGGCTGCGCCCCTTCACCGTGTACGGAGCCGGCCGCGATCAGGGGGTCACCTCCCAGCCCACCGCGGCCATCTACAGCGCGGTGCGGGGCGAGCCGTACCGTGTGGGATACGGGGGCGTGACCGACTTCCATTACGCGCCCGACGTGGCCCGAGCGTTCATCGCCGCCGCCCGAGTCGAGTCCGGCGCATCGGCGGCGCCGGTTCGGAATCTCAGAGGCCATGTGACGTCGGTGGCCGACTTCGTGGACCGGGTTCGCCGCATCACCGGCTTCGACGACCTCGGCGTGGGCACCGAGCCGCTGCCCTTCGCCCACGCCTTGTCGCCCGCAGGACTGGAGGAGTTGCTGGGTGAGGTCGAGCCCACGCCCCTGGACGACGCCATCGCCGAAACGGCCCGCATTCTCCGATCCCAGCTCTAGGCGGGCGCGTCCCGGCACGCCCCGCGGGACTGAGGCCGTGGGTCTCTGGTCGAAGCGTGGCACGCTATGGCGGTGACCGCGGCCGCAGACCCCGCCACCTCGCATCCTGACCGCCCCGCTGAAGGCCCGGCCGAGCGGGTCTTCAGCGTGTCGGTGGTCGTTTCGGGAGTCCGCTGCTTCCTGGCCTACGTGCTGTTCCCGTGGCTGCTGCCCGCGGCTGGCATCGCGTCGGGGGTGGGCTCAAGCCTGGGATTGGCCATCGGCGCGGTGGCCATCACCTTCAACGGGTTGAGCATCCGGCGATTCCAGCGGACCGGTCACCGCTGGCGCTGGCCGATTACAGCTCTGAACGGCGGCATCATCGTGCTGTTGGCCGTCCTCATGGTGATCGACCTGAGCGACCTTCTCGGCTGACGGCCCAGAGGCCGAGCGCCGGTTAGACTCGGCCGAGCCGTGACCACGATCCCAGACTTCTCGCGGGTCGAGCTTCGCGACGGCGACGCCGCGGCCCGCCCGGCCGCAGACCCCGTCGACGCCCCGGCGTTCGAGACCCCCGAGGGCATCTCCGTCCCGCCGCTGGCCGGCCCGGCCGACCTCGATGGGCGCCGACTTCGTGAACAGCTATCCGGGTCTGCCTCCGTTCGTGCGGGGCCGTATCCCACCATGTATGTGACCCGGCCCTGGACGATCCGCCAGTACGCGGGCTTCTCCACCGCCGAGGAGTCCAACGCGTTCTACCGCCGCAACCTCGCAGCCGGCCAGCGGGGCCTGTCGGTCGCCTTCGACCTGCCCACCCACCGCGGGCTACGACTCCGACAACCCCCGGGTGGCCGGCGACGTCGGCATGGCCGGGGTGGCCATCGACTCGATCCTCGACATGCGGGTCCTGTTCGACGGCATCCCCCTGGACCAGATGACCGTGTCGATGACCATGAACGGCGCGGTGCTGCCGTGCTGGCCCTCTACGTGGTGGCCGCATCCGAGCAGGGCGTGAGGCCCGAGCAGCTTGCCGGGACCATCCAGAACGACATCCTCAAGGAGTTCATGGTCCGCAACACGTTCATCTACCCGCCGGCTCCGTCGCATGCGGATCGTGGCCGACATCATCGCCTTCACCGCCGAGCGGATGCCCCGGTTCAACTCGATCTCGGTCTCCGGCTACCACATGCAGGAGGCCGGCGCCACCCTCGACATCGAGCTGGCCTACACCCTCGCCGACGGTGTGGAGTACGCCCGCGCCGGCCTCGCCGCGGGGCTCGGCATCGACGAGTTCGCGCCCCGGCTCAGCTTCTTCTGGTGCGTGGGCATGAACTTCTTCATGGAGGTGGCCAAGCTGCGGGCTGCCCGGCTGCTGTGGAGCCGGCTCATGAGCCAGTTCGACCCCCAGGATCCTCGCTCGCTGTGCCTGCGCACCCACTGCCAGACCAGCGGCTGGAGCCTCACCGCCCAGGACCCCTACAACAATGTGGTGCGCACCTGTGTGGAGGCCATGGCCGCCACCCAGGGCCACACCCAGTCGCTGCACACCAACGCCTTCGACGAGGCGATGGCCCTGCCCAGCGACTTCTCGGCCCGAATCGCCCGCAACACCCAGCTGTTCCTCCAGCACGAGTCGGGCATCACCCGCACCGTGGACCCCTGGGGCGGCAGCTACCACGTCGAGCGGCTCACCAAGCTGCTGGCCGACCGAGCCTGGGACCACATCTGCGAGGTCGAGGAGCTCGGCGGGATGGCCGCGGCCATCTCTACGGGCCTTCCCAAGCTGCGCATCGAGGAGGCCGCGGCCCGCACCCAGGCCCGCATCGACTCGGGCCGCCAGGTGGTGCTCGGCGTGAACCGCCACCGCGTCGAAGACGGCGCGGACGCACCGGTGGAAGTCCGCCGCATCGACAACGTCGAAGTCCGTCGCCGCCAGATCGCACGGCTCGAACAGCTGCGGCGCGAGCGGGACGAGGCACCCCTGCGGGCGGCCCTGGAGGCGCTGACCGAGGCGGCCCGTACCGGTGAGGGCAACCTGCTGGCCCTGTCGATAGACGCGGCCCGGGCCAGCGCTACCGTCGGAGAGATCAGCGACGCCCTCGAAACCGTCTACGGTCGTCATGTGGCCGAGATCAGAGCGGTGCAGGGCGTGTACCGCGAGGAGGCTCGATCGCCGGGCTCCGGCCCGTCCGGCGGCGCCGCGGTATCGACGCGGTGCGGGCCCGGGTGGACGAGTTCGCAGGCAGGCTTGGCCGGCGACCCCCGGATACTGGTGGCCAAGGTGGGACAGGACGGCCACGACCGGGGCCAGAAGGTGATAGCCACCGCCTTCGCCGATCTCGGCTTCGACGTGGACGTGGGGCCGCTGTTCGCCACGCCGGCCGAGGTGGCCCGCCAAGCCGTCGAGGCCGACGTGCATGTGGTGGGAGTGTCGTCGCTGGCCGCAGGCCACCTCACCCTCGTCCCCGAGCTGCGCGACGAGTTGGTGCATCTCGGTCGCGGCGATATCGCCATAGTCGTGGGTGGGGTCGTCCCCGCCGCGGACGTGGACGAACTGCTGGCGGCGGGCGCGATCGCGGTGTATCCGCCCGGCACGGTGATCTCCGAGGCCGCCGCCGAGCTGCTGGAGCACCTGCTCCGATGAGTTCCGAGGCCCGCCCGCAGGCCTTGCCGAATTGATGCAGTTCGCCCCATATATGGTGGTCAACGGCATCGATTTCGGTGGGGGACGCCGATGGATGATCTGATCGCCGGTGTGCTGGCTGGGGACCGCACCGCCATGGGCCGCGCCATCACCGTGGTGGAGTCGACCCGCCCCGATGACCGCGGCCCTGCGCAAGAGCTGCTCTCGCGGCTGCTGCCCCACGCGGGAGGAGCCCACCGGGTGGGCATCAGCGGTGTCCCCGGCTCGGGCAAGTCGACGCTGATCGACGCTCTCGGCACCCGGCTCACCGCTGCCGGCCACCGGGTCGGCGTGCTGGCGGTCGATCCCTCGAGCATGATCACCCGCGGATCGATCCTGGGAGACAAGACCGCATGGCCCGCCTGGCCGCCGACGAGAACTCCTTCATCCGACCGTCGCCGTCGGCGGGGACGCTCGGTGGCGTGACCAGCACCACCCGCGACGCGATCACCGTGCTGGAGGCGGCCGGCTACGACGTGGTGCTGGTTGAGACGATGGGCGTCGGCCAGTCGGAGGCGGCCGTGCATGCGTCGGTCGACTGCCTCTGTGTGCTGGCGCTGGCCGGTGCGGGCGACGACCTGCAGGCAGTCAAGCGGGGCCTGCTGGAGCTGGCCGACGTGCTCGCCGTCAACAAGGCCGACGGCGACAACGAGCAGGCGGCCCGGCTGGCCGCGGCCGAGCTCCGCCGGGCCCTGCCCCTGCTGGCTCCGACGAGGGAGGACGGGCCGCCGCCGGTGATGACGGTCTCGGCGGCGACCGGTGCGGGCGTGGATGAGCTGTGGGACTGCATCGTCGAGCACCGGCGCCTGCGAGAGGCCTCGGGCGGCCTGGCCCGCCGCCGGGCCCGGGGTCGCCTGGCCTGGATGCGAGTGCTGCTGGAGCGCCGCCTGCTGGAGCAGTTCGAGTCACAGCCCGGCCTAGCCGAACGCCGCGCCGAGCTTGAACACGCCGTCGAGCAGGGCCAGATCACCCCCGAATCAGCCGTAGACGAGCTACTGTCAACGTCCTGAACGTTGCCGGCTAGGACAACCGGTGCGCCGACAACCGGTGCGTCTCGGTGCCTGCTGCCGCTCGCGCCGGAGCTCCGCAGACCTCCGCGCCGCCGCATTGTCAGCGGGCGCGGATCTCTAGGTTCCTGCGGTTGGTGATCTTGTAGTGACGCTGGTCGTGGGTGATCCAGCGCAGCCTCACGAAGGCATGGATGGCCTTGTTGACCCGCTCCCGGCTGGCCCCCACCATCGAGGCCAGTTCCTCCTGGGTCAGCGGCATCTCGAACTCGTCGCGGTCGCCGGCCATGTCCAGCAGCCGCTTCGCGGTGCGGCCCATGACATCGAGGAACACCGTGTCGGACAGGGCCCGGTCCATCGCCCGCAGCCGCCTGGCCAGGAGCTGCACCGCGCTCCACAGCGCCGCGGGGTTGTTCTCATACAGGAGCCGCAGTTCCGTGTACGGGACCATCAGGACTGTCGACTCCTCCAAGGCCCGGGCCTGCGCCGAGCGGTTGTAGCCGTCGAGGAAGCCCATCTCGCCGAACAGCTCGCCGGGACCCAGCACCGCCAGAAGCGACTCCCGCCCGTCGTCGGACTCCTGGGCGATGGCCACCCGGCCTGATAGCACCAGGTAGAACTCGCCGGGCTCGGCTCCCTCCTCGAACAGTACGACGCCCCGCTGCAGCGACTGCACCGCGCCGGCGGCCGCAATGCGATCGAGCTGCTCATCGTCGAGTTCGGCGAAGAGAATCGTCTCCCCCAGGGCCTCCCGCAGGGCGCCTGGGGAAGCCTCAATGGCGGCCTCGGGGGCGGTGGAGGTGGTGTCGGACATAGCAGCGGCCCACACTAGTGGCGGTGAGCACGACTGATCGCGAGCAAAACGACGCTCGCGCCGCGGGGTGTGGGCGATCGTGGTGGCGGCCGGGGAGGGCCACCGCTTCGGGGCGCCAAGCAGTTCCAGCCGCTCGGGGACCGCTGCGTGATCGACTGGGCCGTACGAGGGGCCGCCCGCTGGTGCGAGGGCGTGGTGGTCGTGTTGCCCGAGGCCGGACCGTCGGCGAGGACGCCTGGTCGCCGCCCCCGGCTCCCTGGCGGCTGCGTGGCGGCGGTTGTCGTGGCCGCGGGCGGGGTGCTGCGCTCTGACTCGGTGCGCTGCGGGCTGAGCCTTGTGCCCGGCGACGCCGAGATCGTGCTTGTGCACGACGGTGCTCGGCCGCTGGCTGGCGACGCGGTGTTCATGCGGGTGATTCAGGCCGTGCGCGACGGCGCCGACGCAGCCGTCCCTGTGATCGAATTGACCGACACGATCCGGCGCCGCGACGGCGGAACCGCCGACCGCAGCGAGCTGGTGGCCGTGCAGACGCCACAGGCCTTCCGGGCCGCCGCCCTGCGGGCCGCGCACGCCGGCGGCGCCGACGCCACCGACGATGCCACCCTGGTGGAGGCGGCCGGCGGGACGGTGACGATGGTGGACGGCGACAGCCGCAACCTCAAGATCACCGAGCCTCACGACCTCGCCTTGGCCGAAGTGCTGCTAAGTGCCGGCGAAGGACTCGACATTCCAGGAGGCGACCGTGGCTGATCACGGGATGCGGGTGGGGCAGGGCTTCGACGTCCACCGCTACAGCGACGATCCCGACCGGTCGCTGGTTCTGGGCGGCGTGCGGTTCGAGGGCGAGCGCGGTCTTGACGGACATTCCGACGCCGACGTCGTCGCCCACGCCTGCATCGAGGCGCTCCTGGCGGCCGCGGGACTCGGCGATATCGGGCAGCTCTTCAGCGACACCGACCCGTCCTGGGCCGGAGCCGACAGCCTCGAACTGCTGCGCCATGCCGTCGACGCGGTGCGCGGTGCGGGATGGGATCCCGTCAACGTGTCGTGCAGTGTCGTGATCGACGCTCCCCGGATTGCCCCCCACCGCGACGCCATGCAGGACCGCCTCGGCGCCGCAGCCGGCGCGCCCGTCAACGTCACCGCCCGGCACAGCGAAGGCGTGGGCGCCCTGGGACGGGGTGAGGGTGTGGCCGCCTGGGCGGTGGCTCTGGTGGCTCGTCGGAGCGAATACCCGGATCAGGCTGCTGCTGGTGAGCGGTCGTAGCGGATGGAGACTTCGCCGGTGAGTGGTCGTTGTGGCTGGGGGACTTCGCCGGTGAGCGGTCGTAGTGGTTGGGGCCTCGTCCGGTGAGCGGTCGTAGTGGCTGGGAGCTGTTCCGGTGAGCCGTCCTAACCGGTCGCGGCGACCGGGCCCGGGGCCGAAGCCGCGTTCGCGTCCTGGCAGGTCTGGCAGCGGACCCCGTGCCGCCCAGTCCCCAGAACGAGGTCGAGGCAGCCTCGGCGGGGAGCAGGTGGAAGGCCGCCAAGCGGTGCGGGAACTGCTGCTGGCCGGCCGGAGGAGGACCCGCACGGTGATGCTGGCCCGGGGCATGGACCCGGCCCCGATCGTGGAGCACATCGTGGAGCTGGCCCGCGAGCAGCGGGCCGCGATCCGCGAAGTGAGCCGCTCCGAACTGGACGCCACGGCGCGTACCGAGGCACCGCAAGGGGTGGTCGCGCTGGCCGATCCGCTCCCCGAATCAACGCTCGCGGACCTGATCGCGGCGCCGTCAGCCGGTGCTGGCGGTCAAGACGCCCGGCCAAGTGGTGCGCCGTTCCTGCTGGCCCTCGACGGCATCACCGACCCCGGCAACTTCGGCGCCATCCTGCGCACCGCCGAGTGCGCCGGCGTGACCGGGGTCGTGCTGCCTCGCCATCGCTCGGCGCGGATCACACCCACGGTGACCAAGGCGGCCGCCGGCGCGGTGGAGCATCTGAGGTTCGCGGTCGTGCCCGGCATTCCGTCTGCCCTGCGCACGCTCAGCAGCCGCGACGTGTGGACGGTCGGACTCGACGCGGCCGGCCCGGCCCCTCCACGAGCTTGAGCTTTCGGGCGAGGCAGTGGCCCTGGTGCTCGGCTCCGAGGGAAAGGGCCTGTCGAGGCTCGTCGCCCAGCGCTGCGACGTGGTGGCGTCGATCCCGCTGCAAGGGGTGCTGGGATCGCTCAATGTGGCCGCCGCCGCCGCGGTGGCCTGCTTCGAGATCGCCCGCCGCCGCTAGCCGTCGCCCCCGAGTTCGGCCAGAGCGGCCCGGGCCTCCGCGGGGCGGCCCGCGATCACGCCGTCCACTCCGAGCGCGAGCAGGCTGGAATAGAACTCGCGGGTCTCCACCGCGTTGGTGCCGCTGAGCCACACCCACACCTCGAGGCCCTCGCTGTGCACCCGGTCGACGGTGTCGGGCGTCACCACCTCGATTCCCGCGTAGGTGAAGGGCACCTGCACAACGGCGTGCCGCGGATCCAGGGCCTCGCCCGCCAGGAACCAGCCGAGCAGAGCCGCCTCGCCGGGGTGGTCGCCACTGAGGGGGCGAGACGGCTGAACGCAGCCAGTACGTCATCGCTGAAGCCGGCCACGATCACCGAGTCCTCCCGGCCCAGCTCGGCGATCTCAGCCGCGAGCACCTCCGCGGCGGCTATGCCGGTGAGGGGGATCCTCCTCGCCGTCGGCGCCCCGCTGGAGCTTGATCTCCACGTCGAGGACGTGGTGGGGGAAGCGCTCGGCCACCTCACGGAACGTCGCCACCCTGAAGTCGTCGGCCTCGAAGCCGGGCGGCGGCTCCACCGCCCGGTGCGCACGCCCCGGAACGAGTACTCAGAGGCGGGCCGGGTCTGGTCGCCCCACAGGCCCGGCCACGAACCAGTGGGCGTTGTCGAGGGCCTGTATCTCGGCCAGGGTCAGCTCGGCCACCGGACCCGAGGCCTCGGTGGTGCGGTCCACCGTGTCGTCGTGCTGGACGATCAGCACGCCGTCGGCGGTGAGCTGCACGTCGAGTTCGAGGATGTCGGCACCAGCCGCCGCCGACTGGGCGTACGCGTAGATAGTTGAGTGGGGGTAGTCCTGGTCGCCGCCCGCGTGGGCGATCACCAGTGGCCGGTCGAGCGCTATGAGGCCCTCGACCGTGGAGGCTTCCGGCCGGGGCAGAACGGTGGTGGTAGTGGCCGGCAGCACGGTCGTGGTCGTCGTGGTGGCAGCCGTGGTGGTCGGGGAGGTTGTGGCCGGTGCGCTGGCGGCTGTGGAGGTTGTGGCGGCCGTGGAGGTCGTGGCTGGGGCGGCCGCGGCACCTGGGGCCGTTGTAGTAGCTGCGCTCGTGGTCGCGCGGCCGGGTTGGTAGTGGTCGCTGCGGCCCGTGGTCGAGGTCGGAACACCCTCCGACGGCGCTGCATCGCGCCCGGAGTTGCCGCCGCAGCCCCCGATCACAAGCCCGGCAACGGCTAGCAATCCGCCAACCAGGATTCGAGGCCTCGCCTCGCGCAGCCGGGCTCCGGCCTTGTTGCGATCGGCCACCATCGCGCTGACCCTAGAGCATGCGCGGATAGGTGACGAGACCTCGACGAGACCTCGCGGTGAAGCATGTTGCTTCCCGCTCTTGTTCGCTGCGCTCACGGGCCGCTCGGGCCACGGCCTCGCTCAGTGCCTTGCGAAGATCCTCACGAACTGCTGCCCATCCGCTCGGGCTCTCAGCTTTGCGGGGCCGCCAGAGTGCGTGAGGATCGTGTTCGCCTGCAAAGATTGGCAGCCCAGCCACGAGGCTGAGCCCATCACCGGAGGATCACCGACCATGCCGATGAACATCGACCGCCTGACCGAGATGTTCGGGCTCGACGGCAAGTCGGCCGTCGTGACCGGCGGCAGCCGCGGCCTCGGCTACATGATCGCCGGCGGGCTGCTCGACGCGGGCTGCCGGGTGATCATCTCGGCCCGCAAGGTGGAGCAGGTGACGGCCGCGGCCGGCCAGCTCGCGGCCCGCGGCCCGTGCGAGGCGATACCGGCCGACCTGTCCACCCCGGAGGGCTGCGAGGCGCTGGCCGCCGCCGTGGCCGAGAGATGGGAGTCGCTCGACATTCTCGTCAACAACGCGGGAGCCAGCTGGGGCGCGAAGCTCGACGAGTATCCGGTGGACGGCTGGAGAAAGGTCATCGACATCAACCTGGGCGGCCCGTTCTTCCTCACCCAGAAGCTGCTGGGACTGCTGCGGGCCGCAGCCCGCCCCGACGACCCGGCCCGGGTGATCAACGTCGCCTCCGTGGACGGGATGAAGGTGCCGGACCTGGAGACCTACTCGTACTCGGCGTCCAAGGGCGGGATCATCCACCTCACCCGCCACCTCGCCAAGCGGCTGGCTCCGAGCACATCACCGTCAACGCCATCGCGCCCGGCCCGTTCGACTCCAAGATGATGGCCTTCATCCTCGACAACCCCAAGGCCCGCGCCGCGCTGGCGGCCGAGGTGCCGCTGGGCCGCATCGGCGAGCCCGACGACCTGGCCGGTGCGGCCGTGTACCTGGCGTCGCGGGCCGGTTCGTACCTGACCGGAGCCACCGTGCCCGTCGGCGGCGGCCTCGCCTGCGCCGACTGAGCGAGAGGCCGAGCGGAGTCAGGCGAGGCAGACGGGCAGCGACTTCAGCGCGTTGTTCAGGTTGGAGCGCTGGCGTCTCGGCTCGCCCGCGAGCTCGATGCGCCCGAAGCGGGCCAGCAACTCCTCGAAGAACACCCGGCCCTCGAGCCGGGCGAGATGCACTCCCAGGCAGAAGTGGGCGCCGATCCCGAACGACAGGTGCGGGTTGGGGCTGCGGGCGATGTTGAAGGACTGGGGGTCGTCGAAGGCGGCCTCGTCGCGGTTGGCCGAGGTGTAGACCATCGCCACCTTTTCGCCGGCCGCTATCGACTGGCCCCCGATCTCGGTGTCGGCCACGGCGGTGCGCCGGAAGTAGTGCAGCGGGTTGGCCCAGCGCAGCACCTCCTCGACCATGCCCGGTATCGCCGCCGGCCGCCGGCGAACCGCCTCCATCTGCTCGGGGTGCTGCAGCAGAGCCAGCAGCCCGCTGGACAGCATGGTGCGGGTGGTGTCGTTGCCGGCGGTGACCAGCTGTACGAAGAAGCGCCCGAAGTCGACGTCGGTCATCAGACGGCCGTCGAACCGGCTGCCGAGCAGCACGTCGGTCAGGTCCTCCTGCGGCGGCATATCCCGCCGGCGGGCGGCGAAGCCCATCGCGTACATGGCCATCTCCACGCTGGAGGAGCCCCGCTCCGACGGTTCGGCTATGTCGGGGTCCTGACCGCCGGAGTTGCGCTCGGCCAGAGCATGGATCGTGGCCCAGTCCTCACGGGGAAGGCCCAGCAATTCGCCCACCACTGCGCCGGGCAGTTGGGCGCACACCTCGTGGACGAACTCCACCTCGACGCCGGCCCCTGCCGCGACCCGAGAGTGGATCGGGTCCAGGATGCCGGCGGTGATGGCCCGGATGCGCTCCTCCATGCGGCCGATCACTCTGGCCTTGAACTCTGGCGCGACCGGCTTGCGGTAGGCGGTGTGGCGGGGCGGGTCCATGGCCAGGAGCATGTCGCGCATGGCTTCGAGGCTGGCCGGTTCGAGATCCTCGATCACCACCCCGCCCTCCGAGGCCGAGAACAGCTCGGGATGGCGGGCCACGTGCACCACGTCGGCGTGGCGCAGCACCGCCCAGTAGCCGGCCTGGCCCGGCACGTCCTGCCAGCACACGGGCCGCTCGCGGCGCAGGCGTGTGAAGGCCTCGTGCGGTGGGCCGTCCACATAGACGTCTGGCGAATAGATGTCGGCGGCGGTGTCGGTCATCGGGTTCGGGGCCGTGAGCGCCGCCGGTCGGGGCGCGGCGCGGCCGCTGCCAGCATGGTACTGACGGCCGCGTCGCCCGGTCAGGGGATGGAATTCACCGCTCACTCGTTACCCTCGTTCGGTGGCCCCTCGTCTCTCAGGGGGCCGCAAGCGATCTACGGAGGCTGATCCCAATGGCAACCGGACGATCCAGCTTCGCCAAACGTCAGCGCGACATGGCCAAGAAGGCTCGGGCCGAGGCCAAGCGCCAGAAGCGCCTCGGCCGGGGCGAGCTGTACGAACTGGAGCACGGCCGTCAGGACGACGACGACGCCGCCCCGCCGCCGCTCCCTCAGACGCTGAGCAACGACGAGATCATGACCAAGGTGGAGGATCTGCACCGCCGCTACGACGATGGCCAGCTCGACCTTGAGACCTTCGACGAGCAGAGGGCCAGCCTGATGGCCCAGATCGCCGTCGACTGAGACGGCCGCGCCCCGCCCCGCCTAGGTCGCGCCTTGCCGGCCTGTCCTGTTCGCGTCCTGTAGGTTGGCGACGTCATGGGATTGGGACAGATCCGCACTGGGCTCACCTTCGATGACGTGCTGATCGTCCCCAGGCGGTCCTCGATCAGGTCCCGCCAGGACGTGTCGGTCTGCACGCGGCTGTCGCGTCGCATCGAGCTCGGAATCCCAGTCGTGGCCGCCAACATGGACACGGTCTGCGAGCATGAGATGGCCGTGGCCATGGCCCGGCTCGGAGGGATCGGCATCGTGCACCGGTTCATGCCCATCGACGCCCAGGCCGCTCAGATCGACATGGTGAAGGAGGCTGGCGCCAATCTGGTTGTTGGGGCCGCGGTGGGCACGGACCGAGACATGCTCGAGCGGGCCAA